CTAATTAAGAGCCTGCCAGTATAGCATTGTGAGCCAGTCGTGGTAATTTTAATAAGATTTGCTTTTCAGATCCATCATCTGTTCAGCTGCTAATCAGGAAGTTCCCTTTGTGATCAAGGGGCTGTATTTATTCATTGGCATAACATTTGGGGTGTAAAATTTGTCAGAAAGTGAGCAACTGTTTATTATGAGTATCATGACTTTTAAATGACTTTGTAAAAATCTACATCTGCATTTTATGTCTATCAGTCATTCTCTCAAATCCTAAAAAGAGAATCAATATATTTCTTTTAGTAACTCTAGTTTTCCTAAGAAATTATTAGAGATTTTTTGCTCCCATGTAATGGAGCCTGGATACAATGAAGAATGCAAATTTCACATACTGTAGTTCCTATGCACAGTTTTTTCTACTGGTTTCACAGTATATCAAAACTATAATAGTACATATGTCTTTTCACTTGTAAAACATACAGTACTTCTAGTTGCACTTCAGTTGTACTCAATGGTACAATATTAAATACCAAAAATACCACAAATTCTCTGAAAAGTAAAATTGCAGATAGGAGTAAATGATCTCTCGTACTAAAGCTAACTAAGTTACGAGAGTTACAAGAACCATTGAATGTCGACTGTAGTGATTCTGTAGCTATGCACCACTCAGGGGTATACTGTAAGGAGAATTTACAGTATGTGATCTTTATTTATCTATGATATAATTGTACAGTAAATGGTTTTTAAAACCAAAATTCCAAAACTTACAAGTTGAAGCAAACCATGGAGTACAAGTACAATATTAGCATGGCTTCAATCGGGCATCCAAGTTCCACCAAGTGGAAACAGTACTGCAAGGAAAGGCACACTGACTCACAGCAGAATGTCCCCACCTTCTGTCCTAGAGGTGGTGGTGACAGCACGTGTATAGCTGAGTTTCAAGGTGGATCAATTTTACTCTTCAAAGCCATTTGGAGCACAAATAAATCATTAAGTACATCTATTTCTTGTGGGAGAAATAACAATGTGTCAATAAAAGAAAATTACATTTGTCTGGTCTATAACCAAGAGCAAAACAGCCTGATAAAGAAGCCACTAGAAATGATTTTGGAATTAAGGACGGAAAAGTCTAAAACAGTGAAATGAATGGTGAACAGAGAAACTGTCAGTATATCACTAAAAAGGGTGTTCCTAAAAATGTTAACAGTGTTTTCCTGAGCAAGTGAACTAATGTGAGGCTTATAACTACAGACCCTCCTGCTGCTGGTGCTGTTCACGATGGCATGAACATGTTAGCAAAATCAGAGTGCGATCAAATCACAAATCCGTGTCAGGGGAGCCAAGTAGTGCATCAGGAAGAGGTCTGTCCTTCCCAGGATCTTTCTCACAATATTTGTAATTGTATTTCTACCATTATATCTGATCCTAAAAAAGTCCATACTGTACATTGAAGTGAGTTTTCTACAGTTAATTCCAGTACAGTTGTCTTTTAAGTTCATATATGTTAGTGTAGCCAGTCAGGAGGAGAGAAGAAATTTTGAACATAGTTCACACTCTGTAATCAATATTCCGTGTGACTAATTAGTAGGCGATAAGGTATATATTGCCAAGTAACCTAAAAACTTGCAAAATACCCCTGCATTATTCTGAGCATTATGCATCATCATCATTGCAATAAATATCCAGAATATAGTTTTGTTTAAAAACTGTCTATACTGTACATGTACTGAATTAAGCTGCTTATTGTGTGGAATTTTAAGAACTGCAAATACTGTACATGACATTTATGAAAAACATACAGTGTAGGCTTCTGATAACTGTTTTAATATCCTGTAACTGAACATTGAAAACAAATAATTTCACATCTGATATCAATTAATAGTACTTTTTAAAAGTTTTTTTTTAAACCTTCTTTTCCTGCATGTATCAACAACAATCTATAGATCCCACAGAATATGCATAAACATAATTTGAAATACCAGGGAAATGTTAATAGAAAAAACACCATTATTTGCTCTATAGACTTTTTAAAGAGGCATGAGTCCTGTTCTGTGTTTCTAAGTTTTATTTTTTGAAAGTCTAATTATTGTCAATTGCAACAGTTAAACAAAAAGGATTTAGCAGAACATGAGAACACCTGCCCTTTGGTATGTGCACATTGTGTACAGTACTATACTGTATCTGTGCTGCAATTTCCATAAGAAAACAGTAGAGCTGGATTTCTTTCATTTTAACCATGTTAAGTCATTACCAATAAACCACTTTGCTTGCACTCTTACAGACAAAGCTTAAAGCTGCAAGTCAAAAACACACAAAGGAAAAACAATTTAAAAAAAGTTTGAGGTAGTCAGAAAAGTAACCGCATAACCTCACAAATACAGTAAGTCCTCTTTGCAGCATTATGAATGTGTGTCTCTGGCAGTCAACATCTTAACTAAGAGGAGGTTTATCATATATATATGACAGAGATCCAAATCTTAAATACCAATCCTGTGGCATGTGTATAAAATACAGAGCCTTTTACCAGCAGCTTCAATTTGGCTAGTATGTTGAGTTCGTCTCCTGGTAAACAGACTGAGGACAACAGATGTAAATTGTGATTCTGTCACATCTGACATCCATCAAAGAATATTAGTGCCTCACATCAGCAGTATATTAGCATTCCTTCAGTTTCTGCTTCATGTGAAAACAGTTTGTCAAAATGCAGATCATTTGTAACATTTTTGTCTGAAGCATTAGAATATTTAATGGATTACCTGACCCTCTGACCTTTTCTGGTCATTTTAATCAGGATTTAGATTTGTAATCCAATAACAAAAGCAAATTCTACTAAACTGTGTGAAGTGTCTATTCAAGGGGATTATTTCAGCAAGGAGTTTTTAATTAATGATTCAGGCAGATGGAGATTGCCCAAGGCAATTATCTTTTAAGTTGTATTTTGTTTTTACTGGCTTCTGTTTCTTTCTTAATATGTTTTAAATGATTCATATACTAATATATCGACATTAACAGAATTTTAAATACAACAGTTTTTTCCTGTTTGTGTTAAGAAGAGAGGTCTTTTCTATTGATTTATTAGAGAGTAAAAAAATTGAAATATTTAAGAGAAAATGTTTATTTTTCATTATTGAGTATCTTACATTACACACTCGCACACGCTGCATGATTATTACATTGGGTAACAGTAAGTTCAGACCCAACTTTTATAATACAGGAAACCTTATAAAAAGTAATATAATACCACAGCATCTTATGTACAGTATGTGTAGACATCTGTCTTATTTTACCTGGTTTAATGTTTTCTGAAGAATTTAGACAACAAACACTCATATCTGAATAAACTGTGTGCACGTTGGGAACAAAATCACTGATATTGTGGAAAACTAAGTATAAAGTATATACAGTATACTGTAGAAACAGAAAGTAGGATCTTATTATACTGTAGATAACCTTCCTGTGCATCTTTGGACTGTGGGAGGAAACTGGAGCACCCAGAGGAATCCCATGCTGTTTTTTATTTATATAAAAATAATTTTATTCTCCTAGAGCACTGGATGAGAGATGTAGTACAATTTCAGAAGGACTTCTTTAAAGGATAACAGCAGTACCTTGATGTAATTATTATTGGAAATAATAAAATCACTGTGGATGTATCACTTTGCAGAAGAAGCACAGTAGGTGTTCTCGTTTGAGTAAGAATCAATAGTATTTTTTGAAAAAAAACAACAACATTGAGGTTATTTAAAAGATAAACACTGCCTGTTTACAGTGCACAGGAATCTAGCTTTATCAACAGATTGGTTAATTTGTGAAGAACTGTTATACTGTATTTCATGATGTTTATCAGTGACAGGTCATCTATTAAGTAGACTGAATTATAGGAGACTGCACCTGCATATTCACATCAAATCATAACTTAGAATTCACTGCAAAACCAATGCACTTTGGAGTATTGATGACCTGTTTAGCTTTGTCTGACAAAGTTAATGAGTTTCTCTTCCTGATGATAATTTTGTAATCTAGGCATCTAGGAATTGATTTTGTATTGTGTCATTTTGGTGTTTTTGTATCATATTCACAAATTAGTACATTATGATTTTTTTTAACCATACTGCCATAATTAACAAAACAATACAGTATTTCTGTGCAAGCAAATATCCATATTCTCTTATTTTAAAATGTTTAGAGAAAACATTAAATATCACAATATATTAATTGCTTGGGTATCAAACTCACATACAATACTGTAGCTGTGTATTAACAGGCAACTCTCAAAATACTTATTGAAACATTTTCTCACAGTCTCTGTATATGTTTTCTAACTTTGTGTATTAGAATGTATATTTGTAAACACTTTCATTAGTTTATATAAAACAATATGTTTATTCTTAAATTCTTAAAAAATAAAAAGGTTCTTTAGATACCCTATTGAAGAAAAATAAAAATAATTTCTTGCGTGTGTCTTGCTCTTCATCACCCCTGTACAATAGATAGGACCTAGAGCTGAAGACTAAAACCTTATGTACAGTAGGTGTAGCAGAGTTTTATTTATGATCTCTACAGAACATTATCTTAATAAATATTGAAGAGCTTCCTCTTGAAGGCAAAGCAGTCAGCGAGAGTGTAATGGATAAGGAGACGGAGTTCAGGGGTAGCAATTGAGCAAAAAACAAACCTGAATTATGCTGGGAACAGGAGTACAAACAATGAATATTGCAACCTTGCACTTTAATAAAAAATCACTTTCATCTGAGCAGTATTATAAGCTAAACTGCTTATTCAAACATATGACAGGTAAGTCATAAGTCACTTTTTAATGAATTTGGAGGGGTTTCCACAAGAAGAGTGTGACCATATTTGACTTACAGTGATATGTGTTGTAAACTAGAACCTAAACAGCTGTTTCTTATTGTACAATTATTAATTACTCAATTAATAATTAAGCAATCTATCATTAAATGGGCTTCTAAAACCTGGAGCATGACCTTTTATGCTTTTTTGTATTTCAGATTGTCAGGCTTTTTCCTGCCACCGCCAATTGTAAGCACGGGTTCGATTCTTGCACTGTGGTTTACTACTGACTTTGCCGTGAGTGCACAAGGATTTAAAGCAATCTATGAAGGTAAGAACAGATTTTTTGTTTCTTCATTCAGACTGTATAAACCTTTTCATGCTTATTTGAAGAAACGTACTGATAGTATTTCTAAGGAAAGCATACTGTAGCTCACTCTTACTGTTTTTGGTAAATAATGTACATGCTGTATTGCACAGGCATACCTCAATGTAGTAGAACCATGGCTACTTTTCAAATGTATCACAGGGCTGCTGGTGGTTTTAAAATAATAAAAAAATAATAATCATGTAAAATCTACGGCAATATGTATTAGTTTTAAATAATGTTATTTGCTTATTGCTTATTAGTTTTGTTAGATTTAAGCCGTGGGCTATATATTGGAATCATTGCATTGTACTGTAGAACTTTCATTTTAGGTCTTACTTTACTAGTTAATAAAATATTAAGGAAAGTGTAAGTATTGTCACAAATGCTGATGAACATTTCCTGATGGTTTCACTATTTCTGAACACACAGCGACAGTTGTAGAAGAACATATCAATCAAAGATATTCATTATACTGTATTTACTGTAGATTGTACTGTACTGTACCTATTTAGTTGCAGTTGTGGAAATTTATTTAGCTTTATTGCACTTAATTTCCAGCATTGCTACTGCTGTCTGGGTATTGTCTCTACTGAGTTTGTCTGTTCTCTCTGTGTTTCACGTGAGCTTTCCCTGGGTGCTTCAGTTTTCTTTGGGGGAAAAAAAAGACATAGATGGAGAGACACACTTCTACACTTAATAACTTATCCCTCCATTTTCCAACTGCTATAACCAGTACAGGGCCATTGGGGAGCCAGAGCATATCCTGGCAAACAAGGGGCACAAGCAGGATACAGCACATCCTGGAACAGGATGCCAGTCAATCGCAGGGCAGACCGACACAACTACACACACAGCAGACTTGGGCTCACTTTCCCAGGAGCTAACTAACCTATCAGTGTGTCTCCGGACTGTGGGAGGAAACTGGAGCACCCAGAGGAAACCCACACAAACACGAGGAGAACATACTGTACAAACTCTAGTCATAAACCACCCCAGGAATTAAACCAGCACTATAAAACCTTATTGGCTTATGTGATTTTAAAATGTATTCTTGTCTGATCTACAGTATTTCAAATGCATAATCTAATACCACTGATAGTGCTACATTATTTCAGTAATTACAGGGTTAGCTGAGACCTTAGAAGTATCTGAAATATTTTATTGCTGTATATTTTGTATTTTATTTCATTTTTTATTCTAAAAAGCATCCCAACTGGTTGGATTAGATTGATGTTGAAAATGTGACCCTACACTGAATCGCTGGATCCCATAACTGTTTTCATGTTTATACCTTTCTCTTAATTTTCTTTCACCTCCAAAAACTATAAATGCTCGTTTGAGCTGTGGAGCGGTTCTTCTGTTCTCAAATGCTTTACTGAACAAACACACTTCAGACTGGAGCACTCTTGATTGTTATAGAACACTTTTCAGCCTGCCTTTACTGGTTAGCATGTGGAAACTTCTCTGCTGCAGAATGTGGTCTCTTTGATAGTCTCATTGAATCCTTTCCTATGTCTACATCCTTACTGCAGCTCAGAAACCACATGAGTTGAAGCTGACAGTGGTTTATTATTGAATTTGGACTGTATATTCTGATATGGATTAATAGGTGATAGCATTTTACAGTAACTAAATGCTAATTAATAAACAGTGAATCTTCTATAAGATAGCTGATAAGCTGATTTAACACTAGATCTTGCTTAAATGTATAATTGCCTGTAATACAGATTCTAGAAAATGCAGTGAAAAACAAGATATTGTTTTGCAAGCAAGAAACAGACAGTTCAATTGCCTTAGCTATGGGTCAGATCATTTGGAAATATAACATTTATTGCCACATTACCTGTATAACAAACTGTGAAGAATTGTTGGCTGTATTTATGCATTGTATCATTAAGGTAAAAACTTTAGATGCAAAAGAAATTCCTTCCTAGAAATTCACAGAAATTGTGGTTGCTTTTTGACAAGTGAAGAGCAAATTCAGGAATTTAAAATGGACCCTTGACAGTATTGTGCTCATTAGAATAGACAAGTTTCAGTTTGTTTGTTGTTTTTAATTTTGGAGTTACATTTCTGTCTCAAACTATATTTACTTTGTCACGGAGGTGTCTTTATTTCCTATACCCAGCATTGCCTGAGTTAAAACTTTCTAAAATAATTAGCAGTTTTTGTATGCTCAGATCTACAGTATGCTACATGGGTTCTTACTTTACGTAGCAACCTCTTTACTTGTTTCTTTACTTGTGCTTCACATTAAATGCTGGGTCAATTTTAAATTATTTGCTATGACCTATAAAGCTTTAAAGGAGGCATCTACTTTGTAGTGTAGTTATAACAGCTGTGGTACCATAAAATTATTCTCTGGGCATTCACTTTTAACTCTTATTCTGTGCTGTCCTTGAATTTTCCTATTTTTAGGATTCAGATTGTGGGAAAAAGAACTTTTCTGTCTGTGTGGTAACCCTCATCTGTAACTAAGAAATGTTCTATGTGAATATTTTAAAATTTGACTAAAGACTAACCATTATTTTCAAATGTCATTGCCTTGAGATGAATGCTTTTTTAACTTAAATGATTGTCTCAGTAACTGTAATTGTACAAAATTATTCACACTTGGATTAGTGTAATGTTTTGTTTCATTTGTTTTATACACATACTGTATCTAAGTATTGAACTTTTGGGATACTGAAGATCTAAGTATTGAACTTTTGGGATACTGAAGATGTTATTGTTTATTTTAAGGGCATGTAATTCGTGACAAAAAGTGTACTTTTGTGCATCACTTTTTATAACCCTTCATAAAATATCTTTGATCCTATTTCCCACGAGTAAACGCATTGATAGCTTTCTATCACCCTTATGAAGCTTCGACTGTATCTGTTTAATATATATATTATGGGTTTTCAGTCATGTCTGTCATTCTTGAGTTGGTCTGAATTCTCAATGGATCTTCTGTAAGTACAGAATATTGTGTGCTGTCCCAGAAAGGACAACATTTCATTGATTTTTTTAAGGTTTAAATATCACTGAAACTTCAGCAGTTGTTTCATTTGTGGAATGTTCCTTAATGCCAGAAATAAACTCTTAATACAAGTGGAACACAGGACAAGAGGTGTGTGGCCTGTAAACAGTGCATGTAATAAGAAATATTGGGGTTAACCCAACAGTATGGCAATACATTTATTGCCAAAGAATTCTTAAAACTTAAAATTGCAAAAGCTATTTCAGACACAACTGTGAGTCTGTCAATATAAACGGTGAAAACAAACAATGTTATGTTTCCCTGAAATTTCCCTGAAGTTTTTTTAAAAGGACCTCTTTACTCTACATTTGTCTACAATGATCTTTTGCAAGTGACACCTTTCCTTTCAATCCTTTGTTTTTTGGATGCATGATTTAAAAATCTACCATCTAAACATAAAATTTATGAAGTCATTTTTGAAGTTGATTAAATTCAGTCCCCACATTTGGGATAAGGTATCATTTATGTACATGAAGCATCCATATAAAACAGAGATGTTTTCATATTCAGCAGTATATGTGTTTCCACATATTCCAGATTCAATTGATATGTTTGATATGTTCCGGTAAAGTACAGTATGTAAAATACAATATACAGTGTAGCATTAATCTCAGTATTTAAAATACTCATCGCACCAGCCTAAATAAAGTACTAGTGGATACTGGACTGCCCTCAATCTAATTAATATACTGTACCTTTTATAAATATTATCCAGGCCCTATCAAATGTTATATTATCTATTTTTTCAGTTTTTATGTTTTATGTGTTAGATCACACAGATCATATAGGAGATTGCTGCCTTTTTCATCCATGAAATTTCCTTTTCACATCTATGAAAGAGCCTTTGAATACTCTCAGCCTTGAATGAAATGAACCATTCTTCCCAAAACAGTACAAATCGAAAATACAAAAGACTAAGACATATTTAATGTTAAGTTGAGGGACTTTCCATTTCTTTGTGCTCATTCATAAATATCCAATTTTAAACTATGCTGGAAAAATTGAGTTCTTATCAATAGTGATTTTGTCAGACTCATAAACTATAGACAACCGTATTCTTAGTTTTGAAGCTCAAAATGAAGTGGCAACTACTGAGCAAACATCTTCCCGGATGGTAAATGTGTTTTTCAGAGAGGTTAGAGACATAATGTAATACATAATACATTTAATCCAACAAGAGCCCACCAATGTCTGCAGAGCATATTGAAAGTTTTAGTTTTGCAATTTATTTGGCAGAAATTACAGTATGTTTTTGCTCACTATCATTTTGTGATACTGTACTGTATATCTAAATAATCTGTTATTCTACTTCATTGTTTGTTGGATAACGTGCATTTCACATATTTTTATCTGATATCACATTACTCTGCAGGATAATACGATTTTGTTCCATGGTTTACATACACCTATGGCCAGAGAAACTGTGCACCCTGTGATTTTTGTCTCTACTAAGAGGAAGTGTAGCAAAGCAACGGCTTTTTGCAGGATTAGAATAATGAATCGTTATTTCATTTTTATTCTTTTTATGCTTGCCATAACAATACTTTACCTTCCTAAATAAAGAGTTTTAAACTTTCTTGTGTGGGCCATTAACCAACTGGAATGGAAAATCAAGCTCTGCCACTCGAGCACTACTTCAAACGAGTGGTTGAGCTCTAATAAATGTTGATATTCCTAGTCTATGTGATTTGCCATTCTGCTCTTTTCCCTGTTTGGCATACCAATGTCTTGAAACCAGACCAGGAGATGAATCATTTCAGACAAATGCATGTGTACCTTATGTTTCCAGCAAATATACTGTCATACATTTTACAAATTGCCTATCTTTGCTGTACATGCTTTCTCAAGGACTTCCTTTCGCAAAATGTTATGATAAATATTTTCTGTTCTGTATTACAAAAGGTCAAAGTATAGGGGAGGAAGCATTCTGTTCACCTAC